GGTCAAGGGCCTCCACTTACACCCTGGCCTGGGGCCACTCCTCAGGTTTTAAGACTACCGTGCAGGAGGGAAGGTCCCCACGGTGACTCCACTTTAAGATTCATTTTTTCGAAATCATTGTCACAGAGAAACAAATTAATTGTGTTGTGTGGAAGGCACTGAGGCGGCGCCCGTACTCTGCTGCATATTTACGGCTCTCAAATTTCAAGACACAACAGAGTCATTTTTTTAATAGCATTTTTAATTGAAGTAAAGTCGGTTTCCAACACTGTGTATTAGGGGTACAGGTTCACCCCTCTTCAGATGCAGGTGACCGCACCACACCCACCAACAGAGCCCCCAGAGTCCTCCACCGCCATCCGTAACCCATGCGGACTTATCCCCAGTGGCTCTCCCTGCCGTCCCAGTGTTTCTTGGCAGGACACCCCCACATTGCTCATGACTTCGACAGTATTTTCCCTCTGCCTTTCCCCTCACGGTCAGCAAGGTTCATCGCATGTCAGCGAGCACTGTCTCATCAACTAGAGATTAAAAAGAAAAAGCACTTATGGAAATAGATCTCTTTTCGAACTGTCTCCTTTGTATTTTCCTTTCTTCTAATGGAGGCCATTTTAAGAAGTGTGGGTGAGACTCGTACCCTGAGACAGGCGTTATGGGGTGAACTGCCTTTTGAAGGAGCGCTCAAGGGCGATTGGCATGATGCCAAGCGGAAACAGGAGGCCCGTGGACAGTCAGGAGATGGTGCCTGTTTTCTTCACAGAAAACCCACTGAGAAAAACACATTAAAAAGAAGAAATTAGAAGTAGTGGATTTTTCTTCTTTTTGGCATATGGGATGAATGTTTCTGTTTTCAAAGTTTGTGTTAATTAAAGAAGGAAGCGTGTATTTCTGGCATTCTCAGGCCCATGGTCTGTCTCCTCAGTTAGCATCTTAAGAGATAATAGTAACACCCCACGCTGACCAGCACTGCGTTAGGACCTTGAATCCTGTTTTGCATTCGGCTCCTATGTTTTGAATTTAGATTGACTCTCCGGTTCAACACCTCCTCTGTATGTTCACATGAGGCAGTTACGTTGTCGCCAGCCTCCTTGGCTTTCCACTCACTGTGGATGCACCTCTACTCCTGGGCTCTCAGACCAGCCCTCCTGGAGGAGGGGGCACTGGTTTGTGCACCTTGTCTATGTTGGTGGTGTGGATTCACGGCTCACATTTGCACGTAATTATGGGACTATCAGTTCCTTGATGTTCTAGATTCTTCTGAAGTGTGTGTTGAGCTTGTGGGGAACCACAAGCTTGTTGACTTGTTGGGAACCAGTGTGAGAAAGCAGAGTGAGGCCGTCACATCCCACAGGTGCGAGGCCGCAACGATCAAATGAAGGCGTGTTAAGATGCAGGAGCCCCTCCTCTCTGTGGGTCTCCCCTAAAAAGCAGAGCCAGAAAGGCTCCCAGCTTGGCCTTTTTCTGTGAAGTACCCAGTGGAATACAGTACACTGTTCTCAGCAAGGGGGAACCCACAGACAAGGGTGCACCCACACAAGTGGGTGACCCCAGCTCTCTGCTGGAGGAGCGTGAGGCCGGTGGGCGCTGGCCCTGCTCTGCTGGACGGTGGCCTCCATCCACCGCACTCCCGCCCTGGGGGCCGATGTGATTCCAGTCTGCTCACTGCAGGCAAGGAGGGCCCTGAAGCAGAGGCTTTTAACAGGAGGCTATAAATGCCCGTGTGGCTTTATTAGGCCTGTTTTCTAACTGGATAAAGAGATTTTCCCAGTCATTTTAATTTTATAAAGTCTATTTTTTCCCCTGGGCTAAGCCAAAAAATGTCTGGGCACTAGTTGCGTAGGTGTAACAATGTTATTTATTTATTTATTTGTTTTTTAATTCGGTCTTCAAAAGATTACCTGCAGTTTCATGCACTTAGCAGCCTGTGGTGGTGAAGGCTCTGGATTGTGCTGGAAGGGAGGGAGGGAGATACAAAGGAAACCTAAATTTAAGGAGATGATTTATTTCTGCTCTTCCTCAAGTTAAAAATTCCCAATATATTCAAATCAACAATAAAAATAACTGCAAAGCTGTCTCCTGAAAGCAAAATAGATTTTATGTCCTAGCATTAGAATGTCTTGGTTTTCAAAGTCAGCAGCCGGGCCTTCAAGAACATCCTGGCAGCTGGCCGTGGTGGCTGAAATCAGAATATTAATCTTGTGGTTTAATTTCTGGGTTCACCGCCAGGCCAGTGATGAGGCCTGGTCTGGCACAGGACACATTTAGCTGTGCCATTGCTTAAGGTTGGGGGGGTTACAAGGGAGCCCCCAGAAGCAGAACCCTACCCAAGTTAGTTTTCAGTCTGATCAAATATAAAGTGTGTGGAGGTCACACGGGATTATTTATATCACACCGGCTCTAAAGTGTCCCCTCTGAAGTTTCAGTGGTGTAACATCTTGACATGGGCATCTGTGACAGCTGAGCTCCTTCCTTACTCAGGGCAAAAATCTCTCCTGGGGCACGACCTACCTACCTGTATTTTAAAGTTTGGCCCCTGGGCCCCCTCCGCCTTCTACTTCCCCCAAACCAGCAGCGCCCGAGGTTGCAAGACTCAGCTTGCCCCTGTGCAATCCAGGTTTTTTGAAGGCTGCTCCTCCCCACTCACCCCACCCCAAGGAATAAAAGAATTCCAGCTGCTAGAGGCACAAAGCTGCCTCCTTCTCACTGCACAGCTTTCTTCTGCCTTAGATAGTCTGTCACTGCTCAAGTACAGATGCTGGTTTATTTGAGCTCAGGTAGAGCTCTTTACATTTGAGGGGTATCGGGGCATCGTTTTGATAGACCCGTTGGAGAGGGGTGTCCGCCCGAAGGCATCGGTATTCAGAAAAGGCATCGACCTCCAAACCCAAGCAAGGAAAGGTCCCCGGGCGCCCATGCCTCTGAGCTCCCGCTGACCGAGCGCAGAGGGGTCTGGACGTGGCTTTGCACAAACACAACGTCAAGTTCTGCTTCCTCGCGATTCTTTTCCACCCTTTCAGGGATGCCACTTACTTATGTTTTCTTGTAGATGTGAATCTTTGACCTTGTTTCCTCCCTCAAAATTAAAATAAACAAATCTATAGTGTTCCCCTTTCTCCTGTGCCCTGCAAATATTATTTGGATCATTTGTCAGCTCAGTGACAAGCTTTGAGCCAACAGATGTGGGTCATTTAGCTCGGAGTTTGGGTACACTTTTGCCTGCTGGTGCAGCCATGTGTATGAAGTTAGGAAACATGGAGATTCTGCTTTAAGGAAACTGAAACTTCAACTGCCAACCAAATAAAGACATGTTTTCCCACTATTTTCTACATGAAAGCATATCCTAGTTTTTGAGAAGGAGCATAGGATAAACTTTGAATCATGGAGTGAGGCGCGTAGAGCGGGGTCTGAACTTGCCCAGAGAGAGAGTCTGCCCACGTGCCCCCTGCGTGGACGAGGCAGCTCGGCGCTCAGGGCCGCCTTGAGGAGGGAGCAGGGAGAGAAGGATGAAGCAGCGGGATAAAGTGGTTTAAGATCTACAGAAAGCATGCAACGTTCTCAGGTGTTTGAATTTCCAAACACTTCCTCAAGAGTCTTCGAGAGGATACTGTCTCCTTCTCTCAGAAAAAACTATAGGCCGTGCCCATGTTTGCCTTTTCCCGGGAGAAACTCAGTGTGACAGCAGCACAAGGTGAGGCAGGACTGGGAGTCTGTGGGCCTGAAGGGAACACGCAGAGAATCAGGGACATTTACACCCAGAGGCAGGGCTGGCCTACGGAATGTGGTGAAAGTCAAAGTGCGGAGAACAAGGAGGCGTGAATGGCCACCCCGTGCTGGCTCCGGGACTGCCCGGCGGGCGCGGCCTGTCCACTCCGTAGTCTCGGTGCTGACCCGCCGTCGGGAAAACACGCCGCCCCAGAATCACCTTTGCTTAACTTGGACCAGAAAGCCTGTCCCTTGTGCAGCCCCTTTGTAAGGGCAGAGGCGGAGGCAGGACAGGGATCAGTGGACAGGGTTCTCCTGCAGAGTGTGTCCAAGAGGGGCGCCTGTTCCTTGCGCCTTCAGCTGCAGAGGAAGGAACATGTCAGACCTCCCTCCTCTTCTTTTCTGGAACTTGACCTGTAATTTAAATCCTGCTCCTCGGCGAAGTGCCGGGGAGCCTCTCTCTTTACAGCCTTAGTTAGAAGCCATTCAGAGAAGGCAGTGTCCCGGAGAGGCAGAACAATGCCCCGTTTTCCCAGAGAGGAGCACGGGCTGCTGGGCGGGCACCTGTGAAGAGGGTGAGATGTTCTAGCCTCCTCCTCCTGCGTGGGAAGGGGCAGCTGCAGAACCAGAGCCGGGGGCTCACGGGGCTCCCCCGCCCCTCACCCGCGATGCTGGGCCCTGCAGGGCAGGGGGCACACGTGGGGTCCCCCTCTGTCCATCCAGACGCACCCCGCACAGAGAGCTGGCTTGAGGAGCTGGACACGGGTCCTTCATGAGACCTGCACCCCCTTACACTCCTGGGGCACAGATAATGCTGGGAAAGGAGAGATGGGGTGTGGGAGTGTTTACAGAACTTGGACGCTTGACAAACAGGGAGCATCAGGCTAATTGTTCTGGAAGCAGGAAATCTGTAGTCCAGGAAGCAGGTGCTGCGGGCTGATTACCAGGCTCTGCAATGGCCGTGTTAACCGTTTTGCTCTTTGGAGTTTGACCCCGAGATAGTCAGGAAGCTTTTTGGAAGACGCTGCCCCTTTTCTCTAGAGGCCGAGACGAGCCCAGGGGGGCACGCAGGAAGGCGCGGGTCTGGCGGGCCGGGCACCACGCGGGGTCCATCTTTCTTTCTTTCTTTTTGTTTTAATTTCTGACGTTCGGCATCCCATACTTCAGAGAACTTGTGACTAAGAGTGAATTATGATTTTTCCAATTGTTTTCAGACATTTCATGTTCATGTAAACTTGGCTTATTGAGTTCCTGATTTTTCTTTATTTTTTTGTTTTGTCCATTTTATTTTTAATCAGCTACATCAAATGGGTCTTTGGAGGGCCTGGATAACCAGGAGGGAGGGGTGTGCCAGACAAGAGCCATGAAGATCCTCATGAAAGTTGGACAAGGTAAAGACCTGCTCCTCGTGACGCCTGTGACCTGGCGGGCCCCAGCGTGGCGGAGCCGCCCTGCCCGCCGCGCTGCTCCGTAGTCTCACGCTGACTTGCTCACCCCGGGCACAGCTCCTCAGCCAGCGTAGCCAGCCTTTCTTACCGGAGACCCCGCTAAGAGTTAGGCCAGCCAGGTACACCGGGCCTGTCGCCAGACACATACCGCTCTATTTGTATGTATTTTTTTCCTCATTAAGAGCAAAACACCTCCTTGGTTCAGATTTAACATATCCAGAACGAGAACGAGGTTTTTACAGCTTTGCTCACTTCTGCATCTTGACGCCAGGAGACTTTTTGCTTATTGAGCCCTCCACAGACAGATGGCCACTGTGCAGAAAGCTGCGTTCTTCTCACTAGAGTTGAAATGTCATCTCAGGGCCCACCCGGCCTCTCACGGCGTCCCCGTGGGTGACACGCATGGCCCCGTCTACACCTCCGAGAACTAGCGTAACCATTTTGTCTTGAAAGGAGAACTAGAGTCTTGTAGCTCGCAGTCCTTTGTCTAAAGCATCCTAGGCTCATTGCTACTCAGGTCTTGAGATCTGTCTCCTGCTGCTAATGCTAGAGCTTGGCCCTGCCTGTGCCCTAGTAACCCCGGGTTTTTTGTGTAGATGCGACCTCCAGTTCAGCTGGGTCAGCCAGGCATAAAGACCCAACCAGACGCCCGGAACTAGAAGCTGGTACAAATGGAAGAAGTTCAACCACAAGTCCCTTTGTCAAACCAAATCCAGGTAGGGCGCGTGGCCGTGCAGAGTGCTCCCGGCTCTGGTTATCGAACGGGGGAACAGAGCGAGGGCGAGCTTGTGACCACCCACATGGGGCAGCTCTGCTCCCAGCTGTCAGGGACACTCAGTGTGAACACGGACTCATCCCCACAGAAAGCTCCCGCCCACAGAGGAGCGGCCATGGATCTGAGCGCCAGGGCCAGACCGCCCGCTCGCACCTGACCCTGGGGCTGGCTGACCCACGCCCAGGGGTAGACAGTCATGCTCTGCTCCCTCATTGTGGTCACGGACCCCCCCCTACACTCTGGATGAGATTTTTAAACTCACATAGGGCCGTGTTTTCCAGGTGTTTGCACTGAACTTTCTCCCTACACCGTCAGTGTCAAACAAACCAGCAGCGGGTCCCTGGCAAAGCTTGCAGTAGCAGAGAAAGTCGGCTGTCGCCTGACTTCATTGTCTTCCAGCGGTGCACGGCGGCTGCTCTCACTTGCCCCGCTTGTGTCTGCTGCTGGCCCGCGCGTGTCCTGCGTGCGGGCCGGGTGGGGCGGGCGGGCACCCGGCCTGCTTGGCGTCCGCATGTGGCATCTGCACAGAGTCCCATCCCCCAGGCCTCCGGGAGGGGCGTCGTTATTTCTAACTTTCAGCGACAAGATGTGTCAAATTCCTGTGACAAACTGATAAATGGATCATAGAATGATGCCAGACAGTTTTTTAAGTGCTTAACATTTGGGTTGGCAGTCTGTTCAGTGTGAGAGTTTCTGCTGCCTTCCAAATATATTTTAAGTGTAAATCAAATAATACAAATGAATTACGGGCGGGGTATCTTCCAGGCCCGGCCCCTCCCGGGAGGCAGGCCCTGTCTGGGGAGGCGGGCGGCTGCCAAGGCCCCTAAGGGCCGCCGGGCAAGAGCAGGGAGAGCTGGGACCCTGTGCACCTGCTGCGCTGGGCTGGCCACTGGGCTAGGACATGGGCAAGTCCGGGGCTGGGGCTGGGGCTGGGCCATGCCCCTGGGCGGGACACCAGGCGGGGGGCAGCAGGGGAGCCCCCAGCGGCCAGCAGGCGCCCTGTCAGTTGCTGACCACTGCCCAGGGCCTTCCAGCTTTAGCTGCCGGCCGAGTCTGGGGCAGCCCCTCCTCCTCTGAGGGCCCTGAGCGGTGCCCTCGGCGCTCACAGCCTCCCCCTCTCCCGCGCAGGTTCCAGCACGGACGGCAACAGCGCCGGACATTCCGGGAACAATATCCTCCGTTCCGAAGTGGCCTTATTCGCCGGGATCGCTTCAGGCTGCATCATCTTCATCATCATCATCATCACGCTGGTGGTGCTGCTGCTCAAGTACCGGCGGAGACACCGCAAGCACTCCCCGCAGCACACGGCCACGCTGTCGCTCAGCACCCTGGCCACGCCGAAGCGCGGCGGCGGCAACAACGGCTCCGAGCCCAGCGACATCATCATCCCGCTGAGGACTGCGGACAGCGTCTTCTGCCCGCACTACGAGAAGGTCAGCGGGGACTACGGGCACCCCGTCTACATCGTGCAGGAGATGCCCCCGCAGAGCCCGGCCAACATCTACTACAAGGTCTGAGACTCGGGGTGCCTTCGCTTTCCCGGAGGAAACTCGCTGCCCTGCTGCCGCCCGCCCGCCTGCCTGGCCGGGGGGCTCTGCGGACCCCCGGGCTGCGATGGACTGAAGCACAGCGGGCGCAGGGACACCCCTTCTCCGAAGAGCCCTGTGGAGTCGGACAGCTTACCTAGTCTTCGCGCGCCCGATGCCCGGGCGAGGGGCCCTGGGACTGCGCGCCCGCCGCCCGCGCCCCCCAGCCCCCGCGCTGGTCACTCAGGCCCGCAGCCGCGGGGAGACGGGTGGCGGACGAGAGCCCAGCATCCCGGGGAGGGCCCGAGGCGCACGCCTGGCAGTGCCGTCTGGGGGCGCCTGCGGACTCGTGGCATAGACCCCTGGCAGCCCCACTGGGCGCCAGGCCTGCTGTGATTTTGCCGGGGGTCCTCTCTGCACCCCACATCACTAAGGGAACATTCCTGTCGGAGTCTCTCCCTCGCTCTGCACCCCAGGCTCATGGGATGGGCCATTTGTGGGTGGGTGGAGGTTGTGTTGCCACTAAGGAGCCTTCCAGCCCTTTGTTCTGCCAGGAAGAGCAGGAGTGGGAGAGAGGGCGGGGGGTGCAGAGCGAAGGGCTGCCCCCCCCCAACCAAAATTTAGGAGGGGGCTTCGGTTCTGCTAAGATTGAGGAGACAAGAAGGAGGCCCAGCAGCAGCCCACGCGGTGGATCAGGGCGCAGTGGAAGGAATTCACTGCTATCACATAGCGCTGGGCAGGAAGGCCGGGCCCTCTTGGCTGGCAGGGTGGAACAAAGGGGTATTGTTGGCAGAGGAACAGGCTGGGGCGGGGAGTAAGGAGGCTGCTGGCGAGCCATTCGGGCAGGACGGCTGTGGTACTGGCAATAAGATATATACAGCGCCGAGCTGTAGAGAGTCGTTCTGCTTTGGGTGATGTTTCGAGCAGACTCAGCTGCTATACTTATCACATTTTATTAAACACAGGGAAAGCATTTAGAAGAGCAGAGAGCCAAATCTGACCTAACAGTTTAAAGGCCAAAGGTCAAACAGGCTGGAATTCCATCCCCATGGGCGATATTAAAGAATTCTCATATGTAAAAGGTAGGTCAGAGTCCCGTTTCTCCCCCCACCCCAGCCCAGGCCCCTTCCCTGCCGCCCCCCACCCCCCACGGAGCCTTACAACACTTGGGCCTGTCCTGTCTCGGGTGGGTGAAGAGCATCTGGCAAACCTCTCAGAGTCCTTCAGACGGAAAGACATGATGATGTCGAGGGGAGGAAGGAGCTAGGACGTATTTATAGTAGGTATATCCAACCCAAGGTGTAGACAGCGCGAGGGTCTTAGTAATATGTATCTGCAGCATGCACACCATCCACCCAGAAGATGTGAAATTCGTTCGTGGCAATGAAACGGGCCCCACGTTCAGTGCTTAAAAGAACAAAATTGGACAGCTGCTTCTGGGAAAAACCACATCACTCCAAAAATCACAGTAACGAGAACAAATACAGAAATCACCACGTCCTCTGAAGGCGTCTGTCTCACATAACCCCAGACTAGGAAGCGCAGGCCCCAAACGCCAGGAAATCGATGTCCCTGCGTCATACGTTCACCAGGACAAGGCGTCCGGCATCCTTTTCTGTGTTGTGATTTCCCTGCCTTATGGGCTCACGTGTTCTGATCCACTGGCCACACCGAGGGGCTCCAGCTGAGAAGTGTAGCTGCCGCGCCCCCCTCCCCGCCCCACGCCCCTCCCACCCGGGAAACAAAAAGAGTAAACAGGAAACCTACTTTTTATGTGCTATGCAAAATAGACATCTTTAACATAGTCCTGTTACTATGGTAACACTTTGCTTTCTGAATTGGGAGAGAGAAAAAATGTAGCCACAGCATTGAAGGTTCTCGAAGCGCCCGTGAAATACTGGCAAAAATGAGTCGTCACAGAAATGATCCATCTCTGTTTCCTGAACCTGAAAATGATGTCGGTCCAAAGTGCGTGTGTGTGTGTGAGTGGGTGTGTGGTTACATGTGTACATATATGTATAATATATATCGACAATATATATTATATATATCTCTCGTGGGTCTGTGGCGGGTTGCCATGGTGACCAACCACAGCACATATGTGATTCTCTCCATCACCCCCACCTCTCCTTTCTGTGTCTTCATGCAAGATTTTCTTGTTAAGCCATCGAGAATTACCTATGGGGTGGGGGGAGGGCCCAGAAGGGGGACAATGGGAACTAGTCTGATTTGAATGAAATCAAATATTCCTATCATCGGTTGGCGACATTTGGGTTATAAGCTAAACTGTGAAAAATCAGATGAATCGATGAAGAGTCACCCGCAACCAGTGGAGAAGTGTCCTGTGCGTCTGTTTGGTGTCTGGTGCAGAAAATGACAATCTACCAACTGTCCCTTTATTTGAAGTTGGTTCAGCTTTGGAAAGTTACTGTAAATGCCTTGCTTGTATCTCATCCCTAGTCACCTGACTTTGGAATTTGCACCATAATGTTTAAGTGAAGATGCTGTAAATAGGTTCAGATTTTACTGTATATGGACTTGGGGTGTTACAGTAGCCTTATTCACCTTTTTAATAAAAATACACATGAAAACAAGACAGAAATGGCTTTTCTTACCCAGATTGTGTACATAGAGCAATGTTGGTTTTTTATAAAGTCTAAGCAAGATGTTTTGTATAAAATCTGAATTTTGCAGTGTATTTAGCTACAGCTTGTTTAACGGCAGTGCCATTCCCCTTTGCACTGTAATGAGGAAAAAAATGGTATAAAAGGTTGCCAAATTGCTGCATATTTGTGCCGTAATTATGTACCATGAATATTTATTTAAAATTTCGTTGTCCAATTTGTAAGTAACACAGTATTATGCTTGAGTTATACATATTTTTTCTTTCTTTGTTTTATTTGACTAGCCCGTCATAGGTTTTCAATCTGCTTTAGTTCCACGTTGCGGTTAGCCCCCCGAAAATGCAATCCGTGAAGTCATATTCCATGTCTGTTTCCAACTGAATTTGTTCTTAAAAAAATAAAATATTTTTTTCCTATGGAAAAAGTGCCTTCCAAGCATTTTCCTTTTCCTCTTTTTTCATTTCTCTGTTTTGTTTGTTATTTTAATTTGCCGCCTGCTTCTCTGTGGTCACAGCCACACGGGCTCCCTGCCCCCCATCACTGGCATGCCCCCCTTCCAGGATGATCACAGGCCTGCTGGGCCCCCCATAAAACGACAGATCGCCCATTTCTCAAACTACTTCATCCTCAGGTTTTCCACCAGCACTGAGGCCTCGGAACGGAAGACGCGGGTTCCCCCGGCTTCACTCCGCAGCGGCCAGCTAGCTGGCGTGGGACACCGAGGGGCCGGGGTTCGGTTCTGAGCCTGCTGGATCCAGACTGACCTCGTTCATCAGGCTTCATTTTTCTTCAGGGTTAATCTGGGGAGGAAGGGAGAAAGTCAAGTCCCGCACAAACACGGCGGAGAGCAGGTCAGGCGTCAGGCTGGAGGTGAGCCAAAGACCAGCCTGTGGCTCTCCACCCACGGGCTTCCTGGGAGGGGGCCCGTGTGGGGTGAAGGTGCTCCTGGGGTCTCTGCGTCCTCAGAAGTCTCCCTCTCCAGCCAGCGGGACTGGGGGGTGGTGGGGGCAGGGCGAGCCAAGGCAGCAGCGGCCAGTAGCTCCTGAGAAGCCCTGGGAGCTCTAGTTATTACAGGTTAGTCTTGACCTAAGGAGTCAGGTGTTTTGGGGGTGGGGGTTGCGGAGAAAGACTTTGCAGGCCCCTTCAGGGGCATAGCCCAGGTCCGCAGCCCCAGGGAATGAATGGCTCCCAAAGTCCCTGGGGGTTCTGGGGGGAAGGGGCTTGGGAGCGGGTCTCTGCAGCTCCCCCGGCACAGCCCTTGTACCTGAGAAATGGTCAGATCAGTGCCGCCCAGAGGCGCACCGCCGGAGGATCAGCTTCCTCTACCGCTACAGCCGCTGCCCCTCATGCCGACCTGTGTTCTGGGTAAGGCGGGAGGCTGGGCAGGGGTGCCCGGTGCTCGGGAGGCAACTGAGCCTCCCGCCCCCTGCGAAGCTTCATGCTCTTCCCCTGAGCTCTGGAGGTCTCTCGTGGCCCCACCGCATCTGCGGTCACTGGTCCCCTCATAGTCATCCTGCGGCCGTCCTTATAGCCCCGCCTCCAGGCTCAGGTGTTCACACGCGCACACGCGCACACGCACTCTCCAGGTGTCCACCATCAGGCACGGTGCCCCGCGCCCACGCTCCCAGTGCCTTTTGCACAAACATGATCATGGCTGCTGGTGATAACCACAGAGGCTAGTGGCGCCCAGAGCCTGAGCAGCTCACTGACCCTACAAGCGGACCCCAAGGCCCCTGGCAGTGCATCCGGTGACAGGGAAGGTCTGCATTCCCAGCCCGGGGCCGGCATCAGCACGCTCTTCCACCCACGTGTCCACTGCCTGCTCCCCACCCTTCCTGGCCCCGAACATGTGAAGATGCAGTAACTCGCCAGCATCCACGCTGCTTGAACCAGCAGTCATGTTTGCGGGTCTCAGGCTTTGGCCTGTAATTAAGCGGGTCTCTGTTGCTCGCTGCCAGCAGGCCCGAGCGCGCGTGACACACGTGTGTGTGTGTGTGTGTGTGGTGGGGGTGCCCCGCACGCTCTAAGTTGTTGCCGCGCCACTATCAACAGGGCCAGGGCACGGAGACCACCCACATGCTCGGTGGAGGCCTGTTCAAGGCCCGCCAGGGAGCACTATGCAGCCAGGAGAGAGGAGATGCTGCCTCTGACAGCAGGACCAGAGAGCTAGAGCGCCTTCCCGGGGGGACGGGAGGCAGAATGGCAAAGATGAGTGGCCAGCAGGTGACTCAGCAAAGCCAAATGCATATAAAACTAGATGACACTAATAAACTCTGTGTGTGTGTGTGTGTGTGTGTCATTGAGAAAACGAGGCTGCTCAGGCTAAGGAGGAGGGGGTGGGAGAAAGAGCTAGGGGGCAGCATAGGAGGGATGGTGGTGGGCAGGTAGCTGATGAACAGATGACAGATAGATAGATAGATCGATAGATAGATCGATAGATCGATAGATTTTAAAAGAAGGAAACTGCACAGTAGGAGCAGGTTCAAAAATAACAAAAGCCACTGGGGACTGAGTTGATCCCCGGCTGGCCAGGTTGCTGACCCACACGGCGCAGCAGAGCTCTCCTGACTCCCCGCTGCTCCCCTCAGCAGTGGATTTCAGTAGATCTGCCTGTTCTGCTCCCCACTCTGTCTCTGGGGAATCCTCTCACTCCCCATACCTCTGGCCTGCACCCCAGTTCTTGTATGCATAAATACATTTTGAAAAAAATAAAACAAGGAGGCTAGAGTTTGTGTGAAGGGTTTGTTTCTAAAGTCCTGGTGACTCTAAAAAGTCCAAGGACAGTAGGGGGGATAAAAGTCATCAAGGAAAATTAAAAAGCAACAGAACTCTTATGCCACGCATCGCAAGGCTCCGCTCCAGGTAGCTCGTCTCTGTACGATGGCTTCATTAACGCACCATCAAAAGATTTTAAAAAGCGTAGAAATGAACGTCTGGCTCCAGGGTGCCCTAGTGGGGAGGGGAGACACCTCCAGAAAGGCCCCCAGCTGGTGATCTGCACATCACGCAGACCCGAGCACTTTCTGTGAACCTCGCTCCAAACCTCTGGTCGGCAAGTGCCATTTGGCGGAGTGTAGGTTCCTCTTCATGCGCTGGAGGAAGGGGTGTTTACTGGAAGGGGTGTTTACTGGAAGGGGTGTCTACAAAGCACGCAAGCCAGGAATGTGTGGGCCCCTCTGGGACACCCCCTCCACTGTGAAGGGCCCAGGCTAAGCTCACAGCTGCCCTCTGCCCAGGCCGGCCTCCGTGTAGGGTGCAAGGGCCGCTCCCGGAGGGGACAGCTGTTCCCAGGGGGAACCCACTGACTTGCCTCTAATTTTGAAGGGAAGCTTCTAATGCACAACCTGTCCAAAGGTGCTCTCTGTTATCATCAGGGGGACCCGCCGCAGGTGGAAGACACAGAGAGACACCTGGTCGCCCATCTGCCCGGCGAGCCTTCTCCCGAGCCTGCTGGAGACGCTGATGAGTCATCTCAGTACAGTCTTCCCAGTACATACCCATGCGGGCTGGCCTACAAGTCTAGAAGCTTCTGTCCACTGCACATGAATTTGCTCATCTCTGCAACATGCGTTTAGTTATCATGTCATACACACCAGGCACATGCTTGACACCAGCGTGAGGCCCCCAGAGACGCAGGTCCCCGTTAAATCAGGGTGTTCACTGTCCCCGGCCAGCGAGTTTAAAGACTTTCAGGACGAACAATTTGGCCGCGCAGGTGCGCATGCGAGGGGGGCAGCGAGGGCACAGGCCCGCCTGTTTTCTCGCCGAGCGTCTTCGTGAAAAAGCGTTTGTCTAGAGCTGCCCTTCGTCTTGCGCACCTACGTCCTGTTGCCACGGGTTGAATTTCTTCCTTTTAAATCTTTCATGACATGTATGCCGCCTGGCTGGGAGGAAGCTAAATTTAGTCTAACTGTTCTCCCAAACATCTCCGCGCTTCCTTAAGTGCCTGCCTCTGGCCTTTAAGGGCAAATCAAAACATTTCCAATTGGTCTCCAGCCCACATTGCGATGTGGGCATGCATCTGAAAGGCTGCTTCTTGGCTATAATTGGTAGTTTTCTTGTAGCTGCCTGGGAGGAAAGACGCGCGGAGAGCTTTGTGTCTGCTAACAGCAGTTAGCGCTGGGCTCAAAAGCAGCTGGGAAAAAAACGCACTGAGCGTCTGGCTGTTCGCCAGCGTGACCCCCACACTCAGGGCCAGCGGCTCCTCCCGCCTCCACCTCTTCACTGCCGCCCCCAAGGCGGGGAGGAGGTAAGACCCGTGACACCCGCACCCCCTTTTCTAAGCACAGTCACGGCAGAAGTTCCCGTCCGCGGGCATCCCAGGCGAGTCTGCAAGCGAGCTCCAGGACGGGTGCAAGCTCCGGCCATGAGCCCCTCGAAGCCCCGGCCGGGCCCGGACAAGCCCCTTTGTGGGGGTTGTGGTGAGCAGGACCTGCGGCCTCTGTGTGACGGCTCAGGCCGGGAGGCCCCTGTGTCTGCCCACTGGCCTCCTCCGGTGAGCCCTTCGGGGACCGACTTCTGCTCTGGGGGTCTCCTCCACTCCCGCCTGGGTCTTGCTCACCTGTTGTGCTCCCCGCGCCTCGGAAAGCAAGACGGAGCCACCCTTCCCCAGACAGAGGAACCGCAAAATGAGTGACGTGTGTTGACATCGCCTCTGCCTCCACGTCCTCCCACGAGCGCCGCTGGGCCCTGGGCCTCCTGAGGCCCGGCTTCCCTCCTCCCGGCCCCACCTGCCAGGTCGGCTTCGCCCTGAGCCACGCCCGGGCAGCCGCCCTGTGAGAAGCTGCTTCCTCCTCCCCAGACGTCAACCCTCCACCGTGATGAGCAGTTTCTAGAGCCCGGCCGGTTTGCTCAGGAAACACGTGATTTATTGAACTTGGGTTCCTGAAAACAATGCCTGTTTCTCTTGTTTTCCACAATGAAACAGCAGCGCCTGGCACATCAATGTAGATTTCTTTTGGCAGCGGAAGTGACCTGGGCGCTTTCACGGCAGGCCTGGCTGTCCCGGGGCGCTGAGCGTGGTGGGCAGCTTCTGGTTTTCGGTTCTCCCTGCCTCTTTTTCACACGGGATCCTCTCATTTTTACCTAGAGGAGTCGGGCGCGGGGTGAGGGCTGCGTCATTTCAGGACACACTGGCCCACGGAGCGCGGAGCCGCGAACGGGAGCCCTTTGTTCCCTTTAGAGGCACCTCCTTTGGGGCTGTGGATCTAAGCTCCAGGAACAGAACCTTCTGGAAACGTGTTAGGAGCAGATACCTCAGTGAGGACATGCAGACCCTGGCTGGGGTCCCAAGTCCGGACTCCAAAGGTCCTGCCCACTGCCTCCTCCCTGATGCACTCACCTGGAGCACCTGCCCACGTGCCTTCCACCCCCTCCAAACCAGCTGGTCCTTGATTCCCAAGGGGCTGAGCCTCATTGTCACCTCGTTTTC